AGGTAGGTAGGTAGGTAGGTAGGTAGATGGATATACTGGACATAGAGACAGACAGACAGACCAGTAGCAATAGTACTTAGATTTATATACCGCTTCACAGCCCTCTCTAAGCGGTTTACAGAGTCAGCCTCTTGCCCCCAACAATCTGGGTCCTCATTTTACCAACCTTGGAAGGATGGAAGGCTGAGTCAACCTTGAGCCTGATGAGATTCAGCCAATGATCAGCAGGAGGAGGCTGCAGTACTGCACTCTTAAACACTGCGCCACCGCGGCTCAGTCAAAAATGTTCCTTTTGACTGAAGGAGTTACTATTTTCAGACGTTTAACCTTTTCAGGTATTATTTCCCCACCTCCTTGAAATTGAGTTCGGTACGTCTGCCGGGTAGGGTGAAAGATTCTTTTGAGGGCACAGGAGACATCATAAAGCTTTGCCTTTTATAAAAACAGCCCTTTCCCTGTAAACATGGCCAAGATTTTGGTTAGGACAACTGTCCTTAGCCCTGTGGACTTTCAGCCAGATGGAAAGTTACACCTGGCTGAGCCCACATAAGGCTGAATTGACAGCGCAACGCATACTCCCCCTGGCCCAACCAATGATGTGGGTTGTTGGGAAGACCAAGAAGGTGACAAGTCCCTCAACTCTAGGTTAAAAGACACATCCGATGACTTGGAAGCAGCTACACAGCTTGAGGATGCAGGGTTGACCTCTCTTTTAAGTGTGCCCCAGATTTCTAGCTTCTGAAATGTGGGAGACCAAGCGCCAAAGGTGCCTTCAGCCAAATGAATCAATGCAGAGGTGGATCATCCTCCCAAATCTCAATTGAGCCCACTGTCGCTGAACAAGACGGAGATCAAGGGAGTTTTGCCCCATTTTATGACCTTTGTTGACACTCTTAAGCGAATCGCCGTGGTCGCTGAGCAGATCACACCATTGTGTTAAGTGAATCCCGATTCTCTGTGGACTGCACTCGTCAGAAGGTCATAAAAAGAATCACATGGCACTGCAACAGTCATAAATGCGGGGTGCTATTCCCACAATTATTCCCAATGCCCAGGCAGCGTTCTGGGAAATTAAAGTAGCTAAGTCTGGGTGCTATTCCCACAATTATTCCCAATGCCCAGGTAGCATTCTGGGAAATTAAAGTAGCTAGGTCTGGGTGCTATTCTCACAATTATTCCCAATGCCCAGGCAGCATTCTGGGAAATTAAAGTACTAATGATGAAGACTATTGTCCTAGAGAGAAAAAGGCAAATAGAAAATGAGGAGTCCTTGGTGCTCTCTGAGCTTGCAAATGTTTCATGACTCAACTAGGTAACATCATTAATGCTAGAAGGGAGTGGAGAGGACAGTAGGGTCATTGGTGTTCTCTGAGCTTGGTGGTTTTCTTGCAGACATTTCATGACCCAACTAGGCAGCGTCATCAGTGCTAGAAGGAACCGGGGTTTAGTCTCTCATTTGTACACTGATGACATTACCTAGCTAGTAAGCATGAAAAAATGGTCCTCGGTCCCTTTTTTTCAGCGCTGTTGTAACTTGGGTCACTGTTGTAAGTCAAGGACTCCCTGCACTGTCCAGGCTCTGCGAGATCAAGACCGGGACATCAAGCTTGTAGAAGGTGCTATGAATGAGGAAGTCCACTCATATCCTGAAATCACTGTAATAATGGAAATTACTCTAGGAATAGCTTGGTTTTGGGGGTGGGGGTGGAGAGAAGCTATTTTCAGCCTCTGGCACCTGTCACGTCCAGTAAACTCCCACCAACGTTGAGTTAACAAGTCATTGATTAAGGATTAAAGTTCAGAGGAGGCAAAGGGGGGTGGAGAGATATGTTATTTGCTGGTTGGTGGTTCTCTACTCCTTTGTTGACTGGAAATCTCAACCCACTTTCAGTTGATTATGCGGAAGAGTTAAGAGCATCCTGGTTATCTCGGATTTGGGCGCGCTCAAGGCAGGTTGAATGAGTGCTTCAAGGAGTTGCTTGCGGCGACTGTCTTTCTCTCCTAGCAGACGTCCTTCTGGATTCAGAAGAAGCCGGAGAGCCAAAGCAAACTACCAAGGTGACCGGAGAGGATCTTCAGGAAGGAACTGTCTTGAGTTGGGGGGCTCTAGGAGAAACTCAAGTCTCCTAGAGTTTGATCTCAAGTCCTGAAGAAGACATGGCCCTCTTGTCCTCTGTGGAGGGCTGTGGAAAGGAATGCAACATCTGCTATGAGTCCTACCAAGCAGTTTCCACCAGGTGGGTACCGAAACTTCTCTGGTGTTGCCACACTGTCTGCCTTGCCTGTCTCAGGAAGCTGGTTTGCCGGAGCAGAGTGGTCTCCTTCGTGGTCTGCCCTTTCTGCCGGATGGTGACCCTCGTGCCCCAAGAGGGCCTCCAAGCCTTGAGGAACAATGAAGCTCTCCTAGGAGAGATAGGACCACCAGGAACGGAAGAGTCCCAGGCCACCTCTGAAAATGGTTTGGAAGAAGACAAAGATTCCACAAGAGGTTCTGACTGGTCCTTTGGCAACATGGCCCTGTCTCTGGAGTACACCTACAGACCTACTTCGCCCATCTTCACCATCAGCAGCATCGTTCCGGCCTTTCCCATGGGGTTCCACGCGGGGATGTGGAGCGGGCTCCGTATGCAGGAGATGCGAAACGCCGTGGTGATAGAGATGCCTCCAAGGACATTTTCAGCTCCTGCATCTGTGGAGAACCTGCGCATTTGCTTCGCGGTGACTCTGATCCTCCTTGTGGTCTCCATCTTCTTCACGCTGGTCTTTTCTTGAGCAGGGAACGCCGGATGCACCACCATGTCCCAAGAGGAGCTCCAGGCCTTGAGGAACGATAAAGTTCTCCTACAAGAAATAGGACCAGAAGCGGAGGCATCCCAGTCTGATCTCAGCCAGAAGAAAGAAGGTTCTATGGGCAAGATGCAGCTGGTACCCCAAACAAAAGACCCACATTGTGCTCCTAGATTTATTGTCCTCTCCTGCTTGATTAGTTAGAAGGCGACTTCAGGACTTTCTGATCCAGCAGCGATGAGGTCGCCTCTGTCAATCTCTTGCTCTCTTTATGGTGACTCTGCACAATATTCTCCACGGCAAGCAAAAGTGAGAGTTGTTCCTATCGGTGATGATCTACAATTCTTAGGACCCCGAAGCCAGGCATGACGAGGGATGAAGGATGCTGGAAGATGCGGATTAGCATCAGCTAGAAGGCTCAGGTTTCGATAGGATATACAATGGATGGATGGATCGATAAATTTGTGGATGGGATGGATAGATGGATGAATAAATTGGATGGATCGATAAATTGGTGGATGGATGGATGAATTGGTAGATGGATGAATTGGTGGATGGATGGATGATTTGTTGGATGGATGGATGAATGAATTGGTGGATGAATGGATGAATTGGTGGATGAATGGATGAATTGGTGGATGAATGGATGAATTGGTGGATGGATAAATTGATGGATGAATTGGTGGATGGATGGATGAATTGGTGGATGAATTGGTAGATGGATGGAT